GCTGGAAGACTTTAATTCATTTTATTTCCATTTGTTTAATCTGAAAAGGGAACATCACAAAGTGCACATCACTTGAGGTGGTGTGAGAGCAAGACTTTCCGATAGTGTCAGGTGCATTTTCACACATCAACCAGTCTGGACTGGTAAGACAGTTTGATCGTTTGTTTGAACCCTAGGATAAGACTCCTCCCCAAGCCATCATTACACCAAAAAATAGAGGTGGTCCTACCCTTTACCAATTAGAAAACGTATGAATAATAAACCAATTTCAATGAGGCAGGTTCTCACTTTGACCAGTGAGAGATCAGGGAAGGCCAGGTTTAACCTGATCTGTGTAACACAGCTGTTTGAGGGGTTATGCCCCCCCACCACCTCGACAGCTGTCCAACTCCCCCTCCGCTCTTGAAGCCAGTGATCGGTGAGAGACCAGAACCCTCTCGTCTACCTGGATTTTAGCTAATGCCCAAGACTCTTGGCTGACAGTTGAGCTACCAAGCTGGGGCTCCTCCCTGAGGTGGTCCTACTCCTAACCATTACCAGTTAGATAGCTCGGGACAGTTTTAACACAGCCAATAAGGAACACAGCATAGTTTACAGCCTTCTGGTGAGGGGTTAGAGGTTTAGAATCAGGCAGAGGCTGAATTCGGAAGTCTTTGTCTGATAACCTTTCCACAATAACCACGTCGGATTCCGAGCTGATCAAAACAGACGCCAGTTTGCTGCTGTACTTATGTTACATCAAGGTACATCTAGCTACTCATCTTCTCATCTGTAGATCACTGGGTTTTATAGCACTTTTAATACGGCTGAAGATCCTTCACACTACGGGGAATTGCTGCTCTGAAGTGAACATGCAGTGTCCTCCTCGTCTGCTTTGCATGTGAAGCTTGTTTGTTAAACCTGTTCGCTGTGTTGCTCTTTGTTTAAACCTGATATACAGCTGAACTGAGTTTCATTAGAGTTTTGTGCCACCAGCCTGCTTTAGTTAACCCTTAGCTTTTACGCTTGACTGTTTTTTTTTCTTTATGTAATAATTATATGCCCAGTGGTCTGTTGAATAGCCCTGTTGGTTTTCTGTTTAAAGTTTGAAATTAAAACCTTTTACTTTACTCAGTTTGTGTGAGGGGGCTTGTTTATGTTACTCCTCTCCTGACGCCTAGCAGAGGGGGTCGTAACACGCTTTTCCAGAATTTTGTCTATATATTAAAGATGGCCATTCATCACCTTCACTTTCTACAACTCAAGTTCATAAAAACCACTGGTAATTAGTTCACCGTCATAGCCTTTGATCTTATACACAGGGGAATGCGATGTCGTCTACGCTGTGTTTGTAGTGTTTATCAATTTATTTAACAAGTCAATCCATTCAATTTTAAAAAAAAACAGTAAACACACAAAATCTATATCAAAATTTGACTTGAATTTGACTGAAAACTTGACACCCCCAGCGGGGCATGCAGCCTCCAGCTCCTCTCAGGGCTGGAAGCCAAAACATGGAGTGGACCCAAAAACAGATTCAAGCCGAGAAACAGAACTTTGAAGTGAAGAAGTGTGCTATTTACAACAAAGTGAGGGTACAAGATGATAAAAATAGAAACTGTGAAATACAATGACCTTGAACTAAGAACAAACTGAGACAGGCTATGACCTATGAACTAAGAAGATGGCGTGTAGCACTATGTACAAGGGCGTAGGGGCTTTCAACTAGGTTGCCCTGGGACATGAGTGGTGGACCATGGGACTTGGCGAGGGGGTATAGTGGTACAAGAGAGGGTGGCGGAGAGGTGTTGAAACAGAGCGAAAACAGATTAAGGTTGGTTCTAGACTGAGTTAATCTAAACTGTAGGGTCTGAACAGTCTTACTTGGTTGCAGGTGCACAGCAAATTCAAAAGTGTTAAATGTTTTGGTGTTAATAGTCTTCTTGCAAAAGTAGAGTTAATTTTACTCTAAGCAGAGTCACATTCTTTTAATGTAACTCTGAGGTGTAAAATGA